TGGCTCGGTATCTCCAACCTGTACGATCACAAGACATGGACCAGTGTCGATGGTAACTTACACTTTTCTACTATAAAAGGAATACTTGTGGACTATTTAAATAAGTGAACAGTTCGTTTTAGTTGCTGCATGAATATAAATTCAAGAACTTATGCCATTCTCTATTCTAATCACACAAACAACCTTTCCCTTTTCTCTTGTTCCATTATTCAGCAAGTCGAACAATAAATGTATTTGTTTCTAACAGGAACTTATCTTATGTAATTTTACTTTTACACGTTATTGCTCCAAAGTCTATCAGGATTCAGGTTAGTGGTGCTTGCAGTGTGGGAGCCGAGATACGGGTCTAAGTTCTGGGCTAGGACTATAAAACTGTTTGTAGCCCAAGTTGTAGTAAAACACGGAGATAGCGCGCCCGCTAACGAGCTGTGAACATACATGTGCATTTAGTGTGCTGACACACCGATATACGACATGGACATACATTTATAATAACAATTAAAAATTAACGTAAAACAATAGATTTGTAATGATGTGACGACTTACACGTTTATATTTAATAGTCTTCATAGCTGGAAGTTATTTACAAGAATTGATAATTTCTTAATATCCTAAATTGCACATAAATAATCAGGTTACACAAAAACATATACAAATTAGACACGTTATCAAGCGTCCCGTTTAGTGTGGTCCCGCACTATGTTATACAGCGAACCATTAGCGATAGTGCAAAGTAAATGCCAGACGCATAAACTAACTACTAAAAGGTAATGATTGCTGAGTGTGGACTCTGCACTCAAGATGTACTCAGTTATGTCTTGATACACCGTACATGCACGTCGGCTGCAAATATTACATTTCTTTAAAAATAAAAACATTTTTAGGTTAATGAGTGCCATCATTGCACAAGCCAGGTTACAAAAATCATTAGTTATGTATTATTGATACCCAGTTTCAAATGACCATACTTTAAGCGTATCTATTAATTCTACCTAGTAGATAATGCATTTGACGTGTCCCAGGTGACGACATCAGAGAGATCGGCTTCGACCGCTGGGCTGGGGAGAATGGATTGACCACCAGGTATGTATGGAAATATAATAGAAAAATGCGTGATAAAATCTTTGTTATATGACTTGGATATAATACAAACACCATGTCACAAAATCACGTAAATAATAATTGTAAATTCCTTCTGTTATGTCTAGCAATGCTGCAGAGGAGCCGCACTGTGCGGCGTTAGACGCGATGAGCCCCGGCCTGCGAGACTGGTGGTGCCATCTACCGCAGCCCTTCCTATGTCAGATACAACTCGACG